GGACGGAGCACGCCGGGTTCGCACCGGACCAGGGGAGGGGGGGGGCGTACTCTTATGTTTCGCATGCCTTAGCGGCTAGACCATTGACCACGTGTCCTCGAGAGGACGGAGCATTATTCCCACAGGACCGATCACCGATGGCCAATAGTTCCTTCCTAATATACCTTCACGGTACAGGGGGGTCCCTGTTTAGTGCCGGTATGTATGTGCCCAGAAAATTCACCGGACCGACACTATTGAAAGTACTGACAATGACTTGGAAATTCAGGGTGTGCCCGTTGACATCGCCGGCATTAAGCAGGGACCCCCGTACACCTTCGGTACCCGAGAACCAAGATGAAGTACACCCACAACCTCTTGCGGGAAACCAACGCGTACTCTCCCTCAGTCTGAACCAACCCAGATGCCGCTCTGTACCGCATCGAATGCATGTGTCGTGTCGCGTCGTTGTCAGGCTTATGGAGAGGCGATCTCCCTCGGAGGAGAGGGCGAGGCCCTTGCCAGATCCAACCGAGCGGCGGTGTACCTGAAGCTCAGCAAGCACACCGAAGCTCTCCAGGATGCCTCGGCCGCGGTGAAGCTGATGCCCACGGAGATGGCCTTCTACAGGAAAGGGTGAGCGATCCCCCGGCCTCCGGCGGCTGCTGCAGTTGCTATTGCAATGTGCACACGTGGCTCTTGTTCCAACATGTACCCTCAGGAGTTGTACAATATATGTTCGTGAAAATTTTGTTCTAGCTCGTAGTTCGGCTTGAGCGTCAAGGGTTGTCTGAAGAAAGTACCTCCTGCGCTACACGCCACAAACACCGCGGCAAAACCGGCACAAGCGGCTCCGGTCGGTCGATAACCAACACTGCGGGTTTCCCCCCGACACGTCCCACCCACCCAACGGAAGGCTGGCGGCTTTCGCGTTGGAAGAGTTCGAGACCGCGCTGGAGGCGTTCCGACAAGGCAAGAAGCTAGAGGAGGAGAGAGGGGACAGCAACGACCCCCGCAAGTACCGCACTTGGGTACGCAAGTGCGAGGCCGAACTGGAGGCCGAGGAAGAAGCGCACGCCGCGGCCGCCGCTTCCTCCGACCGGAGTATGCCCCCCACCACCCCCACCACCACCACCACCACGAGCGATGTTGCTCCGGTGTCCGGCGGTAGCGTTGGCGCCGCTGCTGCCCCGGTGAAGCGGACGCCCGTGCCGGCGTCTTCGACTGCCCCCGCGCACCTGCGGATCAAGTTCCAGTACTACCAGAGCTACGAGAAGGTGACCGTGGCCGTGCTCGAAAAGGGGCTCAAGGAGAGCGAGGTCAAGGTCGACGTGGAGGCCAAGCGCCTCACGGTCAGGAGAAAAGCGGGAGACAATGCCGGCGCCCTGCTGTTCGACAAGGTGCTGTACGAGGAGGTGCTCCCGGAGAAGTGCCGGACGCGTTTCATGGCCTCCAAGGTGAGAAGAAAACAGGAGACGTTGCAGCGAGGAGGGGCTGGTAGGTCGGTCCGTTCGCTTGGTAGGGGAGTGTTGTCTCCAGGAGAAAAGGAACTCAAGCAAGTGACTTTGCCCCTTGAGAAGTTACAGGGGCTCGCCGAACTTTCCGGGAAGGTTGAGTGTTGCTACTTGACGCTGCACCTCTTTTGGTTGTTGCTGCACATGTAGCAAATCACATACAGCACTTA